TTTTTTAAATTAGGTAAATCAGCTTAATCTGACTCTTCAGGAGAAGAGAAGCTATTCACCTGCATACTTAATATTTCGTTAAATATAACAGTGTCTTCCTAGAACTCAAGATGTCTTCAGTGTGAGCACAGACAGCATCAGAGGCAGAGCTGAGAGGATCAGAGGTCCTGCTGGGAGAGAGTCCCTGGGATGTGCTTACCCTGATATTACATTCAGGTGCATATGGCCCTTTCTACTCTCGAATTGCAAGATTAAAAAAGTAAATACAGAGATTTTTATATATATTTTTATATATATATGGCTATTTTTGTTCCAAAATAATTCCAAATATATTATTCTGAAATTACACAGTTATATACTGCGTGGAGTTAAAATTATGTAAATTGTGCTATTAAATGGCTGATTTCTTTCAGAGGAGCTTGTACTAAGTGAAGAAATCTTGTTTCTCATGTATGTTTTGGTATAACTGCCTTGATAGATTTCAGAATGACAGGCTCCACATCAATGTAATAACATGCAAATAAGGGTAGAAATTTATCATCGCTGCTAATTGCACGTCTGTTGTTTTTATACTGCTTTCTAGGCCTCAGCCTCAGTTGGAGACCTGTTCTATTTGGCACTGTAGAGGAGCATGATAAAGGATATTCTGCTTCTTAAAAGCTTGTCATGTACATAGAAAAGAGAAAGACAAGCTCATGCAGGAGAAGAGAACAGGCTTCTTTCACCTGTTCAGCACCAGGGCTGCGATCATAACTGGCCTCCCTTAGGAACGTGTTGGAATAGGGGTTGATTTGGCCAATTTTGGGCCTTAATGCTATGCTGTCTCGTCAGTGGAGGAAACTTCGTTGTTTTATAGGGAGATGCAAAGTTTCACCTATATTGCCATGCAGCATGGCTGAGCTATTGTGATAAGAATGCTGTCTGCAAATAATTAATCGGGTAGAAAGTATCTTCTAAATAATAGGAAAATTTTAACTGCATGTATATTTGAAAAGATCACAACTTTAACGTCTATATTCAAAGTAATTTGGTTGAACATAGCTATGTCTCAGCTTTCTTGGCCAATGTTTGTTTTTATAACCTGCATTTTTACTCATATTTGAAGGAGTTGTTCATATTCCTTCCTGTGTGTGAAGGGAAAAGCACACTGAACAAGGAAAGATTTTTGGATGTGCTGAGGCTGCAGTGCAACTAGCTATATTGAAAGCGTTGTAGAATACATGGGGTAAACAACAGGGGGTAGTAGTATTTTTTTATTAAATTTGTTATAGTTAGGTTAGTATTTTATTATTGCATTTATTGACTGTGTATCTATTAGCATTCTGCTCAGATATATAAACTATTTATTTGATTTTTTTTGAACCTCATGTAGGTTATTCTGAGTAATTCCGAAAATACCCTTCAACATGCCTGAAAATCCTGCTGCAGGTATGTGGTCTGAAAGTGATTACTTTTGTTAAGCAGCGAGAAATGAAGCTCCATTCCTAACATGTACTACTTTGTGGTGCAGATAAACAGCAGGTGCTGCAGATCCTTGATCGTCTGCAAGCAAAACTGCGTGAGAAAAGAGATTCCCAACATAATGAAAACCTGACTGTTCTGCGTAACACACTCAGGAGTCCTTTGTTTAACCAGATACTGACCATCCAGCAATCCATCAAGCAACTGAAGGAACAAGTGAGTGTAAAATTATGATTGTGTTGGTGTGATGATAACTATAGTGAACTTGGAACTTAAAACAGGGTACATAGGCATGTGTTAATGAGGGTGTTCTCATTAATAAGCTGTAACTGGGTGTGAGTGCATGTTGGGCTTTTTTTTTCTTCTTGGTCATGCTGATATCTACAGAGTCACTACTGAAATGAGAAGTGGTATTGTAACAAACAGATCATGGGGCAACGTGCTTTGAAAGGGATGCAGAAGAGGCGGGCATTGCGAACCACATCAGTTGGAGAAAAGCATCTGCAAAAGACATCAGCTCTAATACTTGGAGTTCAGAACACAGTTGGAACTGGGATCCTTTGTTTTTCACAGAATCTAAATACTGTTTATTGGCTAACTGGCAGCATCTTTTCTCCTTAAAAGACTTCATCACTTAGTTCCTGCTGACTTGTACAAGAATGGTTAACCTGTTTTGGGAAATATAATCTAAAAAACCATCCCTGAAGTTTTGCCAAGCTCTGATGCAGATGTACCCAAGCTAACTTTAAAATTACTTGGCTCCAGCAGTGGAAGTGGAACTTGTGTGGATTGGTTTATAATGCCAACTGACACTTAGATCTTGTGGACATGGGCATCAATGACACATCTGCATGAACAGGTCTCACTGTGCAGTTATCGGCATCAGGCATGCAAACTTAAAATCAGGGACTAACTTGACATAGCCTAAGGAGCAGTGATCCCTGTCTGCTGTTACTGCACCTGCCCAGCTGCAGGTATAGAGGGTAGACATCAGTGGGACAAGGCCACCTTGCTGTCATTGCCAAATGTATTGCACCTGTTCCTGCCTGGGTGGCACGGTAGTGGTTGTGCCCTTCATTCTCCCTTTTTCCCCATATTCACAAAGGTTCTGTATCTGTTCCTGTTCCTTCCTTTCAAAGATTGGATGCCTGTCTGCAAGCTATTAAAAATGTATGAAAAGGCAAATATATCTAAGATCATGCTTTGTGACTGTGGCATAATGGATTTTATATCCAGAACATTCAGAATTATCATATCTAGAAAATTTTGTTTTTCTTGAAATTCTCTTTAAGCATGTCCCTCATGAGCAGTTTCATTCAGGATGGGATTTTTCAGTTTACTACATCGCACTGGGAATATTTCTGCATTTCTTCCTTATCTGTCACGGCTAGACATTGAACTGCAAGGTCTAGCAAAGATAACATGTTCAATGGCGGTTAGTTTGTACCCTAGGCTCTCTCTGGGGAGGAGATAATACAGACCAGGCCTTTGGCTCCTGAATGACTATGTGACTCTTAAAAAATTTGGATTCTTGTGCCAAAATTGTCTAGGTTTGCCTGGCAGTTGCAACAGTGCTTGAGTGCCTCTTTAATGTTGTTGCTTTTGCATGTGTTTCTGGAATATCAGGGTGAAAGGAGGATAATGGGCACAGGCAGGGAAGCAGAATGAAAGAAATGGAGAAAATGAGTGGAGTAGAAACACAGCTGAAACATTCAGGGAACTTTTCCTTCTGAAAAACAGTTTAAACTTGATATGGTAGCTTGGTTATAGCTTACATATTAACATTGCCTAATTTATACAGGTGAGTGTATTTGTGTGAATAGGCATATATGAACATATGTGTGCTTGCATCTTCGGCAGTCTTCACACAAGATGATATATGTGGAAATCTCTTCTTTCGTTTTTAATAGTTTTTCTACATCTTTGTTCATTTTCAACAGCTCAATTATATGCCTCCTGACCGTTCAGTAGATTTTGATTTTACTAAGAGAGGGCTACTAGTGTTTGCTGACAAATCAGTTGCTGCTGGGAGTGTGCATGCACCTTGCAGTTCACCTGAACTCAAAGCATCTATCTTCACTCCAAACCTGGGAGTTAATGAATTTAACGCAATCATCCAACAGATGGCAAAGGTAAGGCCCTAAGGTTTAGCGAGCCAAACTTATTTTCACTTAATGTCAAACTTTTTCTTGCAGGCTTTTGGAGTACGTTTTCAAACATGCTCTTTTGTTGTGTATCTGGGAGTGTGGTGCCTCCTAGCCAGTAAGAGAGTAGAAGTGCTGAGGATAACTTTTCCCTGTTAAAGATAATGTCAGCAATGGAAAGTGGTTTGGTAGTGGGGTTTTTTCTTTCTTTGCCAATTCTTTTGTCTTGCTTTTTACCAAACACACCAATATAGAAAAGAAATTTCAGTTGCCAGAAAACTTTTTTTTGGTATTTGATGACACTTAATTGAAAATGGACATTTTCTGCAGAAACTTGTTTTGATGGAGAGATTTATCGAGTACATTTTAAATTGGAAATGTACCAACTTTATTAATATATGAACAGTGCAAATGATTAAAAGAACTGGCATGTAATATTTTATTTAACTCCTCATTTAGTATGCCTTAACTTTGCCAGACAGATGCTGATTTCATTAACAGGTGATGTAGCATGTACCAGATGCTTATGGAAGTTGTACAGGTGCAGACATCCACCCATGTGGGATTGGCATTTATACCACATATGTATTGTTCTGTGTTACTTTGAACCATTAATTTAATTGGTTAGTCATGCCTTTCTATATTAAGTAACTGTTGCTAATTGACTACCTTAATGTAGCTGTAATATTTTGACCATAACTCTTCTCATTAGTTCGTCATTAACTCATCAGACAAAAGGTTTAGCAGTGAAGACTGCACATTTTGCATAAAACAGCTGTGATAGCAGTGCATTCTCTAAGTAATATTTCCCAGTAAACAACCACAGAAGTCTTGTATTAGAACTGAAAGCAGGCAGTCACAAAAGCAAACTTTTTTTAGCATTAAGTGTGAAGTTGCAGGGAGGGGAAGGAAATTAATTTCTTTATTTAAAAGCTGCAGTCTTTTGAACGCACACCTAAAAATCAGCATTAAAAGCAAGGGGAGCCAAAAGACAAGTAATTTAGTTTAGCTATGCAGCATTTCCAGAAATTCCAAATATATTGCTCTAGACAGCACTTCGTTCATAGTTTTCATCCAGTTTGGAATTCATCTCATAATGTGAATGAAGTGTGAAAGCAGCTCTTAAATTCCCTGAGGTTTCAGAACCTCAGAGTGGTTGCATATCCAATACTCTGCTATATTAAAAATAATAAATGGAGGAGCTTTTATAGAAATAACATATTCAGTATTTTGCCTTTGTTTAGTCTTAGGAGGAGAATAATTCTCCTGGTGTTCATAAATTTTAAACTAGCTCATTCTGTTGCATTAAAAATTAGTAAATCAATTTTTTTTCTGTTTTATTAGGGGAGACAAATAGAATCAATAAAGATTGAAAAGCCTTCTGTTGGAGGTCTTGGATTTAGTGTGGTTGCCCTTAAAAATCACAGCTTGGGAGAAGTTGGTATCTTTGTCAAGGAAGTCCAGCCAGGAAGCATAGCTGACAGGTGAGATCTTTATAATTGTTTTGGAAAATTGCAGTATTTCCATGAAGGGGAAAGTCATGACTTTCATGTTGAAAACTCTATCAGACTAAGATGTTTGTCTGGGTTATCTGGTGGGATATTTTGGTGGTGGTATCTTGAATTCTGGCTTTTCAACTAAATGGACTCATGTTTTGAGGATCAGATTTTCAAATGAGTTTTAAATATCCGAGCCATTCATAAATGGAATTTCCAGAAATCATGACTCACTTAAGAGAATTTTGAGTACTGATTAAAAAACAAAAGAAAACTCGGAAAAGAATACAAGGAAAATAAAAATTAGCCTCTGTTTGAATTTTTATGCATTGTGTCCCTGAAAGATTCCCCCCCCTTGTTTCTTTATTTATGTGCCTATGACAATGCCCTATTTATAGTTGGTTTTACTGTTTGTTTCCTGTGTAAATTTAGATCTAGTCCTCCCGACAGATCCCTGCACAGATGTCATCATAGAATCAAGGCTTCAGGCAGTTTCTTCCCGCATTGTCTGTGGGTTTTCACCCAACAACAAAAGACAGAGCAATCCTTTAAAAATAAAATGTGATTGTAAAACCACAAGAGCTGGCATGAGACAAATGCAGTGCTTGGAATTATGTTTCAAGAAAATGTGTCTAGATTTCAAGTCATTGGTGTCACTTTTTAAATAACACATGTCAGGAAGTGCCAACACAGGATGACAAAAAGAGTGGGGAGAGGTTGGAATGATAATGGCTATGGGCCCACAGAGAACACACCAGAGAACACTTAAAGAAAAGCATATTAGGCTCTTTCAAAGTGGAGACAGATGGACTGATCTGGATGTCAAAGGAGGGTGAATATCTCACTTTAGGATTTGATGACCTGCTGCTCACTTTCTTTGATGAGAGAATCTAAAATATGGTTAGTGCTTGAAGAAAGTGATTTCTGGGAAACATCTTAAACATTGCATGATAAAAAAGAAGTTTAAAATGCGTTAGTTAAGATGTGCAGTTATATTGTTACAGAGTTTATAAATTTCCCCAGCATGCTTCCCATTTTGCTTCTGAGACAAGATCTCCTGGAGACTTTTTTTGGATTCCTACAGAGCTTTGAAGGCAGTGTCTGTCTATGTAACAGTTTGGTCTCGTGCTCAGAATGAATATTTAACAAAGGAGATGAGTGATGGTTTCTCTCTTGTCACAATTCTAAATTCATCACTAGGGTGAATTAACTGTGAAATTTATATTATCTTAAGGTATAAGTTGAACTGTGTGTTGCTCGAAGAAAGTTTGATGTCTGAAGTTTGATACTGTAAATTTTTGAGTAAAATATAAATATGCACCTCATCAATCTTTAGATTAAATAATGATACAAAACAGTATCATAACCTGAGTTGTGGGTACTTAGAGATAGTGTCATGGAGTGCTAAACATAATGAAGAATAGTTCCTAGTTCATTGTATAACTAAAAAAAAAATTTTTTTCTGCCCTGTAATTCAATGTCATCAAGAAAGGATGAGGGAATTTCATTGAATTTCAAATAGATGCAAAGGAAAATAATTGAGCAAATTTCTGTACCATGATAAAGTTTGAGCAAAATATGGCTGGGCAGTTCAATACAGTGTGGATTGCATGTAGTTTGTATGTTGGTGAAGACAGTCTAATAAGCAGGTTTCTTACGTATATAAATATTTAACTTTGCATAACTGTGTATTTTGCATGTTCATATTTAAATTACACAAGCCTGTTGTGAAGTCACTATGCTGCATTTTAAAATTTCTTTTAATGTTTTGTTAAGGGATCAAAGACTAAAGGAAAATGACCACATACTGGCCATTAATTGCACCCCATTGGATCAGAACATTTCCCATCAGCACGCTATTGCCCTCCTCCAGCAGTCCACAGGATCTTTACATCTGGTTGTTGCTAGGGAGCCAGTTCAAGGAAACAGCAGAACTTCGGCTGTCTTATTAAGTGATATAAATCCACCTGAGACTGTGAGTTGTTGTAATACTGTCAAAATCAGATTTTGAACTATGGTGGATATTTTTTGTGGTTGTGTTTGTGTTAGCAAGCTTTACATATAGGGTTTTTTTTCTTTAATCAGATTTTATATATGATGGCATTTCATTTAGACTGATCATGCAATAAGTATAAGGCTTCTATTGCAAAGCTGCATGAAGTTGTTATGAAATAGATCCTGGATTTTTACGGGATAGCAGAAGCTTTAGTGGATCAACATATTCTTAGCAGCACGGTCTGTTCAGCATAGGCTGGGTAAAGCATTTTACGAGTATACCCAGCTGAAACCTACTTATGCTCAGCAATTAAAGATGCTATGATTACATCTTAAAAGAGTGTAAACATAACCTATCATGAGCACTGCTTGAAATATCCCAACCAATTTAAACTTAAACTCCTAAAAGCAAAAAGCCTTGTCTTTGTTTTAAAAACAAACAAAAAGTATCCATTAAAGAACCTCTCGATCCCTGTTTATTTATCAGGGTTTTTTTAATCTGCAAATTTCATTGATTGTGAACCCTTTTGTTTTCTTGAACAGGGAGAGATTGTCACTGGGACCTGTAATAAGCTAGGGCTGAACTTCCATCTGTGTTCAAACCATATGGTCCAGGTGGCTTCACTGAATTTGGTTGAACTGCACACCTAAATCCAGGGTTTGCAATATTGGAATCTTAATTTATTATGCTAGTAGGTTTTGATGAAAATCTGGTTAAGAGCAGTGCTTTTCCTTATTCTCAGTAATTATTTCCCTCATGATTATTACAGACCTAGTGAAATCTGAAGGTTTTAGTGGATAATCAATATTGTTTATTGCACTGAAAATTTTAAAGAATTAAAGTTTAACTGCTTTTTCATTGAAAGATCTGCACTGAACAGACTAACAAAATAAAACACAAATATATCTCTACAGGGGGTCTTTAAACTTCTTTTATGATATTTAACTGGCTTTGGCAAAGATTTTCAGTATGCTAATAAATCCTTTATTCACAGAAGACTTAAATCTGCCTACTTTGCTCCATTTTGGTTTCTATGAGATATTAATCTGACAGAAACATTGGCTGGGTTTGGGTTGCTTAACAGCTTTGTTATTTTCAGAATGTCTTGTAGAACATAAGGTCATGGTACAGTGTAGCTTAGAAACATGCTTCCAATTCAGTATGGCAGAAAATTGTACTGTGCTATTAATTCAGCGTGTGCTGGTGGTGTTTAGAGTATGTAAGTGAAATAACAGAAATAAGAATTTGGGCAACACTAAGTGAAAACTAGGCCAGTGCAAGCTCCTTGCCTCTGTTTTTCTCTGTTGTTTGCAGTATTCTTGATTTATGAAAAACTAAAAGGATAGTTTTCATTTTGGAAGAAAATCTTAAAATTGCTTTTTCTTAGTCAAGCTTTTTCCTAGTATCCTGTTATGCTGAAAGTGAAGGACAAAACGTATGTTTAAAAACAGATGAGAAATCCCACTGCGTATTTATAAGGAAATGAAGCTGACTGAACAAAATCCAACAGCTCTCCAATATGCAGGGTAGAGAGAGAAAATTGCTCTGGTTAATTCTTGTCAGTCCTGGTACATGTGAAAGTAAGAAACATTAAAGATCGACTGAAATTAAAATCTCCTGTTTTTATTAATTGCAGATTCACTGGGGCCATGTTGAAGACGTTGAGCTGATTAACGATGGTTCAGGATTAGGCTTTGGAATTGTAGGAGGAAAGTCGAGTGGAGTAGTTGTAAGAACAATTGTTCCTGGGGGATTAGCAGATCGGGTAATTTGTTATATTATGTCACTTCTTGTTTGATTGTAAAGTATAATTAACTGGTTTTGACAGACTTAAAATAAACTAATATACTTAAACAAAAGGAAGCTGATAACATCAAAGTCTGAATGCCAACATATACTTTATAAATAAATATGTTGAAGGTATGATTGCGGAAAAAGTCAGCACCTGATATGAATTAAGTTGTTTCTCAGACATGCTTTGGCTTTTATAACATTATTGAACATGCAGAAATTCTGAAAAGTTGTCTAATATTTTCAATACTTTTGATATTTTCAGCCTTTGGTCAGTCTGTGGAGGGACAAATACTCTCAATGGATTTGCACATCCCCTGTAGAGTTTGGCACATTTGGCAACATCTATAGGGACAAGCTCTCCAAATGAATTGTCAGGCAAGAGAATCTGCCCTATTGAAGTAATTGCATTGCAAGATTCAGTTTATAGATTAAGATGTCCTATTTTTAGTGGGTTTCATTTTAAAGGGGTTTTGATCCCTGCCTTATGGTCTGACCAGTTCAAGGAGACACTTAGGATTGATGCAAAGCCTTTTGAAGTTACTGGTATCTTAAAGCTGCACAGGTATAGTTTGCAACCTTTGACTGCTAATCTTTAAAGACTCAGTGCTAAGTGTTGCTACATTTCAGGAGTAGAACACGTGCAATAGCAAAAACAGATTTGGATATTTAATGTGAATTTGGGCATGACAAGTTACAGTACTGGGCCTGAAACCCATGCAGACAAGATCGAGTAACATACAAAAGAGAGAGGCTAAATTACTTCCTCTGGTATGATGGAAACGAAAACTGGAGATTCGGAGAGCTTTACTGGAAAATGTTGGCTTTTGCTTGACTGCCTCCCTCTAAACCTGTCATGTATAAATGAGTATTTTTTAATTATTGTGTAACACCTGTTTTGCTGTAAGGAATAGAGTGTTTTGGCTACAAATGAAGCATGTAAGTTAAGAACTCACCCCATCATTCTCAGCTGAATGAGACATCATTAAGAACATGTGAAATAATGAGAACACATACATGTTAAAATTTGATGAGTTTGTAAATGAGTTTGAGTTAATTCTGGGAACAACCTCGCTATGATTGCTGTATAAATCAATGCACCTAAGCTGGTGGAGCTCTGCTGATCAATACCAGCTGAGGATTTGGTCCTATGAATGCTTGCTTATAATAGAAATGGTGATGTAGGTCATGGATCATAATTATTGTGTAAAAAATGGTTTGTGTGGAGTCTTGTTACCTTCAGTGGATTTACTCGCTCGAGTTGGAGCTGGTCATATGAGAAAAGAATTATCAGGCTAATACAGAAGTATTAGGAAAAACTGTAAAAAGTCCTAAATCAAAATGCCGTACTTCTTATTCTAACCCATATCTGATGAGGAGCATACTGTGAAACAGCAATACATAACAACCTGTGAGATTATAAAACATTGTTGCTGTCTGTTTTGTCCTAAATGAGAAAAGTAACCACTTTCTTAGGAATGGTGCTGTTCAACTTGTCTATCTTACTCAGTTTTGGAAAGGTTGATTTACCACTGTTAACTACTGTGGAAAAAACAGTGCAAATGTTTCCTTGAATTGTTTAGTATGTTGCCATGGTGGTCAATTTTATGGTATTTTTTTGCATTGGCTCTCATGGCCATGAAGATGCCTGTACAGTTTCAATTTTGTAATGGAAAAGGTATCTTATGTATAGACCGGAAACATTTTTTGCAATTTTATTTATGTTTGAAGGATGGGAGGCTCCGGACAGGAGATCACATCTTACAGATTGGAGGGACCAATGTGCAAGGAATGACCAGTGAACAAGTTGCCCAAGTGCTGAGAAACTGTGGGAATTCTGTTAGGATGATCGTTGCAAGAGACCCAAAGTGTGGAATTACAGAGACTCCACCAGCTCCTGTGAGCTGGCCAGTCAGTACATTACCTTCGTTTCAAAATGGAAATGTAAGTGTCTGGTGTTTACTTATGACATTTTTAAGGCTGTTTGTGGCTTGTCATCAGAAAGGAGGAGGAGAACAGGGTGTTATTGAGACTTAAAGTGCTTCTCCTCTTTTGAGTTTCCAGATATCATATGCATGTATTTAAGTGGTCGTTATTATAGCCCTGCCTTCTATAATTTTTCCCTTTTCCCTGTATGTTATTAATACCTATAATCTTGGGATCGGAATGACCAGCTTTACAGAATTTATTTCAGAGTGGGTAATTTAATTACCAAGACCATAAACGTTATCGATAAATGGTACTTTTAGTTCTCCTTCTTAGCTCATTACATTTTTGCTGATCAATCTTTGGTAAGTGGATTTAAAACTTGACTGTGAATTTCCCTAGTCTGAAATCCAGAGTGCCATGGCCACATCAGAATTATTCAGCACAATCATCTTTTTATGAAACATAAGTGTAATGTTTTCATAGTCTATGCTACTGTCTGTGATAGGAAATATATCTAAAAATTTTGAAACTTGTTTTAGCAAATCTTATCATGGTCATATCAAAGTCTCTTGTTTTTGAAGTCATTCTTTTCAGTTTTGAGTAATTAAAATCAACAAATGCTACACTAAGTGTACAGTAGGTCTCGAAACATAAACAAAGCTGTGCTTGTGTACCATCTGCTACTACTGTGCTGCTTAGATTTAGGTGTAGAATCTGAGTAGCCTTTTCTTTCTTGTCTAGTTTCTTGAATATGAGTGGAGAGAGCTTTTTTTTTTTTTTTTTTTAAGCACTGTTTTTAAAGGTCAGACTAGCAGTCATATTGTTACAAACTCACCTTCTCGCTTATTGGGCATAGTCACTGCAAAGGCAGCCATTAGCTTTGTGTCTTGCATCCCTCTGGAAGACTGCTGTGGCTGAAGCTGTCAGTAAAGTATTTTGGGTCCTTCTCAAGCTCCTCTTCTCAGAAGAGGGATTGGTGTAGTAGGAAACGTGAGTGGCAGAGAGATGGGAGGGGGTAATCCATGTACATAAGGTTGGAGTCTTACAAGTGGGTTTGTGTAATACTCTGAAAAAAGTCTTTCCTAGGGAATCAGCATCGTTATGAAGCACTTCTTTTCTGGCTGTATCATATTTTCCAGGGCCCATACTAGGGAAAAATAACATGGTCCTAGTTTTGTTTCCTCTACAAAGAGCTATTTTTCTCTCTTCCCCACCTCAAAGGACGGCCTGTTTGTCACTAATTGACCCCAAACATTGTAGATGCTACAGCCTTTCTAAAATGTTACTTCTTCTGGATGTCTTTCCAGTGTCCTCCTTATTCCTGCTATGTAGTTTAGCGGGGAAAAAAAATTACATTGCAATTTTGTCTACTTCTTTCTGAATGTCATCTATCGTTTTCTGAACTAAATAGTGCCTTCGTATTTAGATTTGAAGAAACTCCTCTTTCCGGTGTTTCCGTTGTTTCCTGTGTTGGTTCCCTCTCCTAAAGATAAGTGACAGACCATCAAAACTTATCTTCATCTCCATCAGTGTCTTATGGAGCAAGAGAGTTGGAAAGCATTTAATGAGCTTAATGAGTTGGTTAGTGGAGGGAGGTGTGTGTGATAAAAAAAGGAGATAGCTGTCCATTGATTTCTCTTTCACTGAAAAGTGAAATAGGTATGGCCATAACTTTAGCCTGCTTTTAATACAGGTCCTTCCAAAGCTGATACTTGGCAAGCATTTGATTAAACTTCGCTTCTGTTCACTCTCTTAAGAAGTGTTTTCCAATTTCCCGGTCCATTTTTTGCTGTTGGCAGTGACACTGTCCCTCTTGATTTCATTACTGTAGCAGACCTTACTCTGACCATCATCTTCTTTTTGATCTCATTAGGCTGTATCTGATTACTGAAAACAAACAACTTTATGTATTTTAATTTATCCCTTGCAATCCCAGATCTATGTGCTTGATTGTTTTTGTCTTTGGTATCACCAGTGTCTTTAGTGTATCCTGTTTGAACTCTGTCTTGCAGTTTTGACTTTTACTTGTCAGAGTAGAGTTGCACAGACATACTGAGGCCAGCTTTGTGGGGACCTTTTTCCATACACTTCTCCAGTGTAAGGTCAGATCATATTGTAATCTTAGCTAGTGGCTTTTATAGGTTTTTTGGTAATTGGACCAAGCGGAGGGCTCGGAGAACAGGTCATGTTATATGCTTCTCTTTTCAAGTATTGTTTGTTATGAGAAGTCGTCTTATCAATTCAACAATAAAGCATTTACAAATGAATACTCTCCCTTCCTCTGTTAGGTCTTAAAAATAATTTTCATTGAATGCGAACTAATGAATCTTCTGCTTCCCATTGCCTTAGACGACCTGGAGTCTTCCATTGCTCTTTGCAGTTTGGTGGCATTCAAATCTGATCAGGATCGTACCAAACTTGTTAAGTTGATGTGTGCAAGATTGACTTTTGGAATGGTTTTGTGGTTTGGGATCTACAATAAAAACAAACAATAAGCTCAAACACATACCTTGTCTCCCATGTTCACATTGAAGTAGGCAACTGCTTCTGTAGTAGAGATGTGCCTACTATGTATACACATGGTTTCTTTCATTTCAGGGCATTGACCCTGTTTCTGTTTTGAGATCCCTTTCCTGCTGCGCTTCACTTCCTTAGTAGATGATAACAAGGAGAGATAAGTATCACTTTTTCTGACAGAAATGCATGATGTGATAACACAGTGTATTTATACCAGGTTTTTTTGCTTCTTAACTGTCCAGTAGAAAGAGCTCAGGCGAGTGGATTTGTGACACTCTTTATCAGGACTAACATATGAAAGGGAGAGAAGAAATTCTGAGGGCATTCAGGGTTTTTCTTGTCTTGTGGGATTGACTGAGAAGTTTCTTGTTACTGAGTGGCAGTGGAATCTAAAGGGAAATGGCCCCCAAGCAGTCTAATGAAAACCTTTGGTTTCCATAAAATATAAATATTATACCTATGACAGGTATGTGGAGAAAGTATTAGGAAAGAATTTAAAAAGCAACTAATGACTTTGGGTGACACCTTATTTTCAGCAAATCTTTGTATATCTCTTTTGCAAATATGATCCCTCCTAAAACAGGAAAATCAAAATCACTGCTCCCTTCTGAAGATCTTAATTAACCTGCATTGTAGTGGTACTGGGAAATTATGAGATGATTTTTTTTTTACTATGTTGTGCTTTATTTATAGGATAATACCAACCTTTTTGAGACCTATGATGTTGAACTTATAAAAAAGAATGGGCAAAGCCTGGGGATAACAATTGTTGGATATGCTGGCACATGTGATGCAGGTGAGTTCTACAGGATTTAATAAAGTCTAGGATGGGGGCTTCTCAAATACCCTTTATTTACTATGGGGAAATTGGACAGCACTTCTTTGAAACTGTAACTTATAAAATCTATCAAGAAGATATTTGGAGAACTTGCTGCAAAGTGAAATTCATCCACAGAAATTTTTAAGGAGTTGTAATTAACTTAAAAAAATATTTCCCACTTGACTGCTGGACTGCTAATTTTGCATGCTTATGTTGTTACTGTGCAAGATGTTAAGCTGTGGCAGACAGTTCCTGCATGTACAGACTGTAACACAGTCAGGCTCCTGTCCACACTGTTCCTTATTTTGCCCCTGTGGTATATAGGACAATTCAGATTGTGCATTTTAAGAAGAATTTAAAAAACAGAGTATCAGATGTCCCCAGTTTGCATTAACTTTTGAATGGCATCTTCAGTATGTACAGAATAGCTCAACATGCAACTTTCGTTTGTTTAAGAATTGTAGGTGTTAGAGAGGAAATGATCAGTCAGATTAACTAGTCCATCCCTCTGCCAGGCAGGAGATGCAGAGAATCTTAGCTGTGCATGATGTATATGCCACCTTCACAAGATGACGTATTTGTCTTTGGCAGATGGCTGTTTCAGTGTCTAAACTCTGGGAACAGATTAAAATACCTGTGCTAGGATATGGGGACATGGAATCAGGTTGTTTTTTTTTTCTAAATCCTCTTTAAATTAGAGCTGTTAACTCGTCTTTCAATATTGGTTCCACAAATTATAGTATCTCTAAAATTGCCTCAACTGTATATCTGGTTTTACACAAAGGGGTAGTGCTTTTCATCCCTTCCCTTTCCTCGTGGGACTCAAGAAAAAGTATTCTGGGGATGTGGTGCTGGTGCAGCTGGAGTTGCACTCCAGCCCTCTTCATTCCAAGGAGATCCTCTTGTGTTGCCCCTTCAGGATTCCCAGGCCAGTGCCATAAGCCCTGGGAACTGGGCTGGGGAGGAGCACCTGTCAGGCAGTGGGAAAAGGTGGGTTTGAAGTGCTGGTTAGAGGGGCTTTGCTGAGCATGGACAAACCACGTTGGGCAGGTGTCTGAGGAAGGTTAGTGTTCAGAAAAGGATGCATGAAGAGTCAAGATTCACTAGAATTTAAAGATCATCATCTCATGTTTTGCAGGAGTTGTTGGAAGGGAAGGGTTACTGTTTCAACTGATGATTGTTTTTTTTATTTCCTTGTTCTAATTAGAAGCTAGAATTAATCAAACGTCAAACATGACAAAGGACAGCTTTTCTGATTTTCATTTCTCTCTCTTTTTTTTTTTTTTAAAAAAAAAGAAAAATCCTTTTTCATTAAGACTTAAAGTACTGAATTCTTTAGGTGTAAGATGATTGAAGTCCTGATCAAAGTACTTAAGCACATACTTTACTTTTAGCTTAGGTAGCGCTATTGAAATCAAATGCAGCATGGATTTAAGTGATTGTGGTTTAAAGCCTGGGTAAGCACAAGGATGAATCCATAGAGGAGGTGGCCTTTTGTGAGCCATTTTAAGGAAAAAATTTTGAGGTCAGTGTACAGGTGATTGTGTTGGTGCTGGTTTTTTCCATCAGAGATCCTCAGTCGTTCTATGTTAAGCTGTGTGAGTGGTAATGTGCAAATGTTGTTGGTTTACAGAATCATAACTTTGTAGACAGAAGTGTGTGAAAAAGGCTGTAATTAAAAATCTTAATAAGAAAAGTAACAAATTAGGTTAATGTAGTGATTTGTTTTTCTTCCTCCCCTCCCCCTGCCAACAGAACCTTCAGGGATTTTTGTGAAAAATATAATACCTGGTAGTGCTGCTGACCACAATGGCCAAATTCATGTTCATGACAAAATTGTTGCTGTAAGTAAAATAGTCTGCTTCTATATTGTTGTAGAACTAATACTTCATTACACATCTCAGTGTTAAAAGAACAATGTAGTAAAGACTTTCTAAAATTAATTAAACCTTCACCAGCTTTGCAGAGGAAATAATTTGGTGGTTCGTATTTGTTTGCGTAGATTTGTAACAGAAATGAGCTTTGGCTTGCTGTGGTTAAAATATTATTTTATATTCAAAGTAGTAGTAAATAGTAGTTAACTATGAAAGAGGTAAGCATTTGGATTAAAATGTTTCAGAGTGGAGAATCTTGGCTTTTGGCCTGAAGTAAAGATGAGCAGCATTAGCTTCTATTTGAATTGTATGGGATTTGAGCATGGTTAAGATTTTGCAAGACATGGCACTGTTTATGGTCCTTGATGACTGTGTAGCGTAGTGTGGATACAATCAAAATGTTAATAGTCACAATTTAGGTTTAAAAACCCAAGTTTTTGTGTAGAAAAATTAAAAGCCATTGAATAACAGTGAATTGAATAATAGCTGATTTTGCATTCACAGTACAAGCAGGACTGACTTACAG